GAAGAAGAAGAAGAAGAAACACAACCGTTTTAAATACATACTGTACATAAACAAAATTTTAGTGTTTTTGCACCATTATAATTTCCTGAGGGAGCCAGGAGTGGTGGCGCACACCTGTAATTCCAGTACTTGGGAGGCCGAAGCAGGAGGATCATTGCAAATTTGAGACCAGCCTGGGCTACAAAGTGAGCTCAAAGCCAGCCTGAGTGGCATAGCAAGATCACTCCACTTCTGCTGCCTGCCAGGAAGGAAAGAAACAGCTGCCTTCAGCTTCTCCCATAAGGGGCAGCTTCAAGCAGGAAGGAATGTAACAGACACCTTTCTCTCCAAGTGCTGTTGTACTCAAGCAAAGGCTTGGTGTTTTGTTACTTGCCTCTGTGGCACTGAGCTAAAGTACCTAGAGGGAAGTGGCCTCCAGCCTTTGACTTTTGTTAACTTTGCTTTAAGGGACCCACAAATTGATATGCTATACTTAAATGGTATGACGTTGAAGTAAGTCTAAACAACAGATAAAGCTTTGAAAAAAAAATGCCCCATATTTTAGAAAAACATCAACAGAAAATTCCCACGTTGTCTTCAAGTGGTATAGTCAATGGACCCTGTCTAAGAGCTACAACCAAATGCTTCTGTCTGTTAAAGGCCACCCTGGCTATGCTTGTATCACTGTATCTTCATCCTCTAACTACAATAAATGTTGAGACTTGCTGAGTCCTTGATGAAAAAGCCATGTCTACTGGAAATACTAAAAGGTCTACCGCCTCTGTTAAGGCAAGTAATAGCTAAATGATGTGGCTAGTAATGTTTCTGAAATTTCCCAGTGGTAAACAACCCTGAAAGGACACACAAAACAGAAAGACAATTTATGCATATTCAGAATCACCTTTTTCTCATGCAACACTGGTGCCTTACATCAGGAAGATTAAATAGAACATTTATACATATCCTTCATCCATGTCCCTTCTCCCTCTGTGAGCATGTATGTACTTGTCCTTCCTTGGTCTCCAAGGCCATGGATGGTTATGGACTACATTTCCGCACAAGAGTACAGTCTGAGGGGATGGAAAGACAGCTTAGCAGTCTAAGTGCCTGCCTGGCAAACACAAGAACATGAGTTCAATCCCCGGTACAGCAACCCTGGGTGCATTGTGCCAGCCCCGAAACTGGGGATGGTGGTGCACAACTATGAGCCCAGTCCTGGGGATGCTGAGACAGGAGGATCACTATAAGTCCAAGCTGTATAGTGAGACCCTGTACCAAATAAATTCAAAAATATTTTTAGAGTCCAGTTTGGTTTCCTTCTTGCTTAGGATATGTTGGGGGTCTTTTCTTTAATTGTTCCAGCTGTCTGCATACACCACAGACTCTGACTTGTTAATTGTGTCACTGTGATGTCCCCCGACTGGCCTAGTTGTGCATATATGACTAGGCCCCAGCGTAATCCCATTTGGTGTTTTTCCATTGACAGAGCATAGGCAGGATCATGCTGATGAACAGAGTGGCCCCTAGGACCACAGCAGATGCTACACCCACCATCATGGAAACTGGAACCACAGGCAGGTGCTCTTTTTCCACTACATAGAGCCTAATTTGTCCAGGTCAGGCAACAATAATGTCAGGAGGGTTTATGACATCACAGATGTAGATGATGCTATATATAGATTGCATATTTTCTATGTTGATTGATGTCTTTCTTGCTGAGGTCCCCAGTGGTTCTGACTCTGTTCTTAAATGGTAGGTAATTCCCAAGGTACACTTCCCCTTGGGAATAGTAGAAAATGACACAGTGGTGTTGGCTCCCTCAGGCTGGAAGCTCCAGGAGATGGAAGTCAACTTGCCTGTCATATTACTGGACTTGAATGTAACACGTCAGCTTCCCTTGTACCCCTCTGGTCACGAAGATCTCTTCACCCCCACTGTTAAGAGCACTGTCATCAGTACTGAGCACAGCCAATACCTATAGCCAGAAGCTGCAACACTGCCCTGGCTCCTGTGGGTTTGGCCATTGTTCAGCTCTGCCAGGTCTCTGCAGTGTGGCCTGGAGTAGGTTTATATCCACAGCAAAACACTTTGCCTTATTCTTATTCCATGTACTTGGTGGAAATGGGCTGAAGTAATGGGAGAAGACTAAAGAATGTGCAATAAAAATGAAATAAAAGAGCATGGTGTTCAAACCTGGTTGTACTTCAGAATCTCAGAAGGGGCCCAAACTACCTCATCTGTTCCTATGCATGCCAATCATCATGGTTCTCAGCCATATTAGCAAGTCCCATGAGCAGCCAAGCCAGCACCTCACAAAGGAACCAACCCAAGAGCCCTTGGCCCATCAGACTGGCCCATATATCTATGTCAAAGGTCCCTTTTCTGTGCTATAAGGGCATTCAATTCTGAGGAACCCTTGTGGGTGGATGGAAGAGAGAGTGTGGCAAGCATAACATAGTGTAGCAAGCCTACTAACCTCCAATCGGGGTCACACAGTTAGCTCTTCCCGAGGGATAGCTGAAGAATTTGTCAGTTGCCATGAAATAGAATACTCATTTCTAACCCAATCTTAACTCCAGAAAGACTCTCTCAGACTTGGATTTTCTTTTTTTTTTTTCCCTATCTTTTTATTGCAATGTAATATCAGGTATCAGTAAGGCTTGGACTTTCACTGGAAACCACAGTCTATGATTCAAGAGCCGTGAGTCTAAACTTTGCCTCCAGTAGTAGTCACACCGTGTTTGGAACAGTATGAAGGGAGGTCTTAGACCCTCAAAGAAGGGCATTGCTTTCTTCTTCACCATTCAGGCTATCTACCCACGGCATAAAGAACTTTGGAAGAGGAGTTGGCTTAAGAGTCAGAAAGCTGAACCTAGAAAGAATCTCTTTCTAGGTTCTAGGTTCTAGGTTCAGCTTTCTGACTCTTAAGCCAACTCCTCTTCCAAAGTCCTCTATGCTGTGGGTAGATAGCCTGAATGGTGAAGAAGAAAGCAATGCCCTTCTTTGAGGGTCTAAGACCTCTCTTCATACTGATCCAAACATATAGCCTCTCGTAGGGTCATTTGTACATAGCTTCATGAGCCTATGCTGTCTGTACAAATGGGCTAGGTAGAAGCTAGGCAGCCTATGGTTATCTCCTCCTGCCCTTTTCATGGAACTACACTGACTCATAAACTTTCCAGGGTGATCTTTACCCAGCTTATGTATTTAACTTCAAAATGAATACCAGACGTGAAAGGCCATTCAAACCAGTGCTGCCCTGAACCTGAGTCCAAATCTAGAACTTAAACCTTAGACCTTCTATCTGTCCCACAGCTACTGCCAAAGGTTATCCCTCCAAGTTAATGTTCTCAGAAAACTACTAGGAACACAATATTGCTATACAGTATGCACGAGGCATTGCCCAGTTTTGTTTTCACTACTATTTTTCAACCCCTAGTCTAGGAAACCTCCACCCCATGGTAGAAGCTGACTAACCAATTATGAATGAATGAATAAGTGAGTGAATGAATGAATATGGTAGGCACTGGTATGACCCCACATGGCTGAAGAAGTTAATCTGAGCTAGTAAGACATGGGAGCAAGACTACAGTACACGCAGTCAGGCTTCAGTGCCCCCATACAAAACCACTATCCTGTTTACTTCCCTGAACAGCAGAATTTTAGTTAAAAATCACAATCCAGTCTCTTCGAAGATCACAAACTGCAATTGCTCATATCATAGTTTATCTGTCATTACTAGGGTAACAAGGAAAAAAAAAAAAAAAAAAAAAAAAAAGCAGGCAGCTATTCCTGGTTGGAATTCTTTGGAGTTGGAAGGTTATATCTTTCTCCCATTCCAGCTGGTCCCCTGCATAACAGACTCCTTGAGCAACATCTCAGAATGTGACAGGGAAGAGGGGTGGGGAGGCTGGAGTTTGGGAGGAGAAACATTAGCTCCCAAGGCAGGACAATGGTGGGGGCGGGGAGAGCCCAGCACAGAGATCAAAGGGAGAAGGCTGGAATCAGTACTGAGCCAAGAAAATAGTGTCCCCTGCTGTAAGTACGACCGATCCAGGAGCACAGTGTACCAGCCACAAAGCGGGTCACTGCCCAGAGAGGGAGGGAAAGAATAAGGTCAGCCTTCTGTACAACCCATTCATCTGATTAACCCAGAGTCAATTCTAGCCAGCAACAGTCACTGGAATTACAGGACTGGGGGCAGGCAATGGATGCATCAATCCTTCCCTCTTCAGAATATGTCTGTGCTAACAGTGATCATGGAAGTCCTGCCTCTAAGAGTTCACCTTCATGTGAGAAGACAGACAGGTATCTGTTGTTTAGTTTCGTTTCCCAAGCAAAA